CCCAAGCTTCAGCACTTTAAAAAACTACCCGTTTGATGGGTGCTTTGGTGGTAGGAGAGCTACAGTGACCATACCTGATGGGAGAGACCCTATACTGTCAAAACATTAACAAGGATATAAAACAATGGTACCTCATTAGTAAAAGTTAAAATATATATGTCATATATATATATATATATATATATATATAATTATTTGATTCTAAAGTATAGCCAGCTGACAACCACTGGGCTAGATTCATTCACATTTCCAATCAGACAGCACTACTTCCTCCATGAAGATGTTCCTGGCAATGCCAATTCCAGATGTTTGCACTCTTCCCTGAATTCTTTAAAAAGCTGACGTATAACTCCGAAGTGTGCAGCTCTGCAAATGTTTACATATGTGGATACCCAGGTAACACCACCTAGATTAAGACATAGAACATTGCCTTGCCAGCACTTCAGAAAGCTTCCCCCTTCTCCTTCCCTGTCAGTATCACCCAAGGGTAAGTGCCATGGTGCCTTTTATCCCCATAGATGTGGTTTCCCTGGTGTTGAACTCTCCATGAATCCTTTTTGCCCTCCTTGCTTGTACAGCTCACTTCACACATGCAAGATTTGCTTTGCTCTAACAGCTTTTATCTGCTTGACTTCTGTGTATACCTCCCTCACCTACTGTTATCTAAGCTTCCTTGTTTGTGAGTCCATTCTCCCTAACTGGATTTTAAGCTTCTTGAAGGCAGAGATTGTGTATATGTCTAGCATATTTCTGTGCACATAATAAAAGCTCAGTAAATATGGAATGAATGCTGGTTTAGAATGAGGGGGGGGGGTGGCTCCCTGGTGGCGCAAGTGGTTAAGATACAACCTATGAAGGTATCTGCAGCCACTGCAGCCACTGCAGCACGAATTTGATCCCTGGCCAGGGAGATACTCACATGGCACAGCAGACCTCTCCTAACTCGCCCCCTGCTCCTCTCAGCAGTGTATTTCAGTCAATCTGCCTGTTCTGTTCCCCACTCTGTCTCTGGTGACTTGTCTCACCCCCCACACCTCTGGCCTGTACCCCAGTTCTTGAATGCATAAATAAATAAAATCTTTTTAAAAAATAAAAAAAAATAGAATGAGTGGGGGGTGGGAAGTAGCAGTAAGCAGATAATCAGATCAAGACAAAGGCTTCTCTCTTCTTTTTCCTCCATACAACATGCAGTTTATTTTTACTAATAACCCCACATATAATATTGGGATTGTGCATTGTTTTTTGTTTGTGGGTGATCATGCATGCATTTGACTTTCAGGTTAGATTGTGGGTAGAGGGACAGGAGTGGATTCTAAGAATATAAAGGGCAGGAGGAGAAAAGGTCAGATGGTCATGACAAGGAGAAAGAACTTGCCCTGGCTCATGCTGCTTAACCCCAAGTTCTAGGGCTCATTCTGTCACTCACTTGGGTGATCTTAGGGAACTCACATCACCTTTCTAAGCCTCATCTTGTCCCAGTATAATGGAGGCAATAATTTTTGAAACTTTGCACTCTGCAGGAGGTCAGCTGAGCTTATAGCTAGGAAGGTAATTTGGATAACAGACTTTAGGGTATTGTTTCAATAAACAGAGGAGTGACTCAGACCACCAAGCCAGGTAAATCTGTCTTCTGCTTTAAGATTTAAACATGCCTATGATGGGCCTCCCTGGTGGCTCAGCAGTTGAGCGCTGGGCTGCAAAGCTGCCCGCAGCCTCTGCAGCACCGGTTCAATCCCTGGCCACCTATGAGGGTCCCACATGGCACGCAGACCTCTCCTGCCGCGCCCACTGCTCCCCTCAGCAGTGTATTTCATCAGTCTGCCTGTTCTGTTCCCTGCTCTGGCTCTGGTGAATTCTCTCACCCTCCCATGCTTCTGACTGTACCCAGTGCTTATATAAATAAATAAATAAATCTTTTAAAAATGCCTATGATGAAAAGGCGGGAAGGCTGAATTCCTAGAATCAAAGAATACTAGAGCCAGCAGGTATCTTAGAAACCAGTCTGGTTCAACCCCCTCACTTACCTGACTACACTGAAGCCTAGAGAGATGATTTTCCCTAAGGTCTTGCTGAACAGCACCGACAGAACCTGAATTCCAGCTTCCCTTTCACAGTCACCTATAAGATTCTACTTAAAAAACAAAGTTCATTTACTCTTATTACTGTTTGGTGACAAGAAGGCTCAGGCTTGGGGCCCAGCAAGTAAATGATCAGGACATGTCTGAAGCTTTTTCAGTCTCTAAAATTTGACATGCTGTTTTTGCTCAATTATTGCTTGTTTGTTACCTACAGGGACAACAATCACCTAGTATTTGTCTCAAGTCTCTTATATTCACCACTCTGCAAGGTGCTGGTGGGGGGATTATAAAAGATTAAGACCCATCCCCTACTGTCAAAGATCTGAGTGTGGGAGATAGGCCTAACAATGAGAGAACAATGGAAGGCAGTATGTGATTCAGAATAAAATGAGTAGTGCAGGCAATAAATGCTGTACAAGTTCAGAAGAGAGAAAGAGAGTTCTGGGAGCTGGGGGTGGGTGTTGGGGAGAGTGCAATTTCACGTGGGCTTTGAAGGATGGGTAAGATTGTGTATGCAGATGTGGGGGAGGGCACTCTTATTTGAGTGTGTATGCACACACGTGTGCATGCACATGCAGGCACAGATGCAGAACAGCGTAACAATAATGGGTGGCATTTATTGAGCACTTTCTATGCACCAGATGCTACATAATGTCCTACATGATTCAGTTCATTTAAATGTGCATAACCCTAGGAATTAGGAAATTCATCATCGATAACTGTTTAATTGGTAGATGGAAATGGAGGCACAGAGAGGTTGAAGAAATTTTCCAAGCTAAGGTGACACAGCAAGTAAAGGGCAAAAACAGAATCAGAAGCCAGGTCTTAAAAACACTTGGCTGCTCTACCTATGAAAAAAGAGAGGAATTTGTGGCTCTGGCAGGGAATTTGGCCTGGTTACAGTTATTATAGCTGGTCAGTTTGCAAACACAAGGGCCCATGAGACCAAATTCCCAACTGAAGTTCAGCATGGAAATTGGAGGAATTAATGAAGCCACTTAATGAGTGCTTCAACCTCATTCTCACTTGCTTGATGAAAGGAACTTGATGTCTCCAGATGCTGCGTGCCATTGCCAGGAGATCCGCAGCCTTGTCTGAATGTTCTGGTGGTTATGTTGCAAAAGATTTAACAAAACACCTAAGGAGAAAGAACCCCAGAGCCTCTGAATCAATTCATGCTTCTTGTTGTTCTTTATTAATTAGCACTGAAGAGCATCAGGCCAGATGGTAGATGCTGTACAAAGCTTGGAATTAGATAAGGCTACCTGGTTATATTTGTCGGGAAAACCAGAACTGGGGAGGGTGGGAGGGCTGTGGCCCGATAATGAGGTAGATTGTGTTTTTTGTTTAAGTGTGGCTGGCAGCTAATACCTGAAAGTGTTCCTAGGCAAGGTGCCTGTGTTTTTTTGGGTATTCTCCTAACTCATTCTGAGTCTTCAATACATTTTAAACCCACATGAGCTAGATTCGGAGAACGTCCTTTTCCTGTTTCCTTGTCCCAGGAACAGCAAATGACAGGCTAGGGGTAGAAAGCGGCAAGACTAGGGACTGGGTTTGCAGCGGCAGCCCATCTACCATGCTTGGGCCCCTCCCACACCCACAGAGTCTAGGCTGGCCTTTCAGAGGCTGGCCTCGAGGCCAGAAGCAGGTTGGGAAGCAGCTGCTCCCTGGGAGGGAGGGAGGCGGGAAAGACAGCAGGGGAAGCTTCTTCTCCCGTGGCTAGTGGGAGACTGAAGGCGTGGCGGGAGAAAGGGAGAAGGAGGACCAGGAGAGGGCGTGTCAGGAGTGGGCTGTGTGGCCTGAGGTAAAGAGAAAAATAAGGGACCAGAGCTGGAAGGGGAAAGAGCTGGATACAAGAAGCAAAAGAAGCCGCCGTCCGTCCGTGCAAGGCACCGAAGTGGGGAGCCGCACCGTGGCTAGAAAGGTGAGAGAAGACGCCATCCCGGTCCCGCGCGAGGCTACCGAGGAGGGGCAGAAGAGGGGAGAGGCTAAGAGAAGGTCATACCCAGGAAAGAGCCCAAAGCAAAGCTTGCCCCGTCGCTGCTCACCAGAAGCAGCGTTCCCTAAGAACTTAGTGCGGGTGGGCTAAGGGCCCTCTAGGGGCCCGGGGGTACAGAGAAGTGGCCCCGGGGGCCGGATGGCAGGAGGTGGTGCCAGTTCTAAGGGCTCCAGTGCGGAGGCGAATTCGTTCCCGGGCGCTGGAGGAAGGTGGATGTGCACGCTGCAGGCTCCCGAGAGCAGGCGACGGCAGGCCGGGGAAGGGGAGGAGGCGGAGATCCAGGCCGGCGGAGGGCGGGGGAGGCCCCGCGGCGGGGGAGGCGGGTGGAGGTGTGAGCAGTGGGGGCCGCCTGGGAGGCCGTCGCGGGCAGCCGGCGAGCGCCGGACCGCGGGCGCAGGGAAGGGGGGCGCGCGGCGGAGCCGGACGGGTGGAGGAGGCGGTGGCCGCGAAGGGGGAGGAGAGAGGGAGGGAAGAAGGAGGAAGCGAGCGCGGCGGCGGCAGGGGGAGGAAGACAGGGAGGAGGAGCCGTGCGCTGCGGCGGCCGCCGGGGGAGCGGGAGCGCCGGGCGCGCCGGGTGCGCGGGAGCCGAGCGGGCGCCCGAGCCGGGGCCGCGGGCGGAGCGGCCGGTGAGTGAGACGGCGCGGGGCGCGGCGGCCGTCCCGGGGCCGGGCGGGCGGCGCGGGAAGCGGCGGCGCCGGGCGGAGGGAGGGCGGCTGTAGCCCAGCCCCGGCGGCCCCGGCCCTCCTCCCCGCTTCCTCCCGCCGCGGCGCTCGGGCTGCGGGCGCTGGGGGCAGGTCCCAGGCGGGCGGCGGGGAGGTGCTGCCGGGAGGGCGGGCGGCGGGACCGGGAGGTGGAGCCGGGGGCTCGGGGGTGTACCCGGGGGCGGGAGGCTGGCCCGGGAAGGCTCTAAATTGGCTGGAGGGGCCCGTCGCGGCGAAGTTGCTAGCTGGGGGCAGAGACGACCACGCGGTTGCAGGAGTAAGAGATTCCCCTGTGGCAAGTGCGCGAGCCGAGGAGTCCGGCGTGCCTGCCATCCCCGGTCGCCCTCCCCGCCCGCTCGGCCCCGCCAGCTCGGCCCCGCCAGCTCCTCTCCTGGCCTCCCCGAGTCCCCTCCGCGAGAGGTCGCTCTCACCCGGTGCCCACCCTCTCCGCCCCCCCCCCCCCCGCCCGTTCCCTCCCGCATCGTTGCTGGGGTCCCTTAGGCCCGCACCCTGACCCTCCCGGCCACCGGCTTTCCCCACCCCTGCTTGCTTCGCCCCAGTCCCCATTCCCGTTTTCTTCCCTCGCTAGTTAACCCGCTCCCCGCTTCATAATTCCCAATGCCATTGCCTCTTTGAGACCTTTTTTTTTTTCCTCTCCTTCCTTTTAGATTGGCCAACGGCTCGTTTCCACCCTGCCTCGTTGGTGGCCACTGGAGAAGCGCGGGGGGCTCCCCAGACAGCCGTGGGGACAAGTTAGAGCCAGCACTTGACCCCGGGCCTCGCGTGTAGCTTCCCTTCCCCTGCTCTAGGTGCCCGGGTGTCTGGAGGGGGGTGAGGGGGCAGGGGTGTGCCCTCCTTACATGTCCCATCCTTCGGGCAACCCTCTGGGCCCGTGTTCCATCTCGCTCTTGTTTACTGCACGGTGGTCGAGGGGAACTGCTTGGCATCATGTCCCGGTATAGCTACCAAAGTCTCCTGGACTGGCTCTATGGGGGCGTGGACCCCAGCTTTGCCGGCAATGGGGGCCCCGACTGTGCTGCCTTCCTCTCTTGGCAGCAGCGGCTGCTGGAGAGTGTGGTGGTCCTGACCCTGGCCCTGTTGGAGATCCTGGTGGCCCTGCGGTACATCCTGAGGCAGACGAAGGAGGACGGTAGGGGTGGCCGCGGCTGCCAGCCAGAGCAGGTGACCCAGCGGCCAGAGGAAGGCAAGGAGAGCCTGAGCAAGAATCTGCTCTTAGTAGCCCTGTGCCTGACCTTCGGGGTGGAGGTGGGCTTTAAGTTCGCCACCAAGACCGTCATCTACCTGCTCAACCCCTGTCACCTGGTCACCATGATGCATGTGAGTCTGTTGACTTTTTCCTGGGCCACCTCCATGACAAGAGTCTTGTGTGCTCAGGACCCGTGGCCGGGTAGAGCACCTCATCCCTGTGGGAAGTGGGATCCTTAAAAATGATTTTCCAATGAATGGCTGTGTTTGTGCAGATTTCAGAGTTGACTCTCTTGCACCTACCGCACACCCTGTGTCAGCCCCACAGTGGAGGTGAGGAACAAAGTGCCCGAGTCCTAGGGACGACTGGCACTAAAGCCCACTGCCCCCACACTCACCCTGCCCTGCCCTTTCACTGGTAGCAGATCCAGCCTCAGCCAGGTTGCCCTTTCTGAATCATATCTGGGGACGGTGACCCAACCCCTATGCCCTCTGCCGTAGTTAATTTCTAGAGGCCTGGTGACACTCTTTCTTGGAGGTGGTCACATAAGTTTCCTTGTCTCCACTGTGGTACTTTGGGGAAATACTTTTCTGGGTTTCTTTTCATGACACTTTCATGTAGGAATTTATGCTGTTAGGGTGAGATCTGTCTCTGAATACTGAGGCGCCGAAGCTGCACAACCTCCTATGAAGTGCACTCTGAAACAGGCCCCGCTTTGGGCTCATGCTCGTGCTCTCTAGCATTGGTCAGAAGGTATTTATTTTTTGCAATCCTCCCTATCTTTCCACTCTTAATCTGTCTCCCTGGTCATGGTCCAAGGGTGGTGGGGGTGGGGGGAGAGAGAAAGAGAGAGAGAGAAAGAGAGAGCGAGTGAGAGAGAGAGAGAGAGAGAGAGAGAGAGAGAGAGAGAGAGAGAGAGAGAGAGAGAAAGTACGAGCGTTAATTTCTTCACCTCCCATTAGTGGTGCTAAGAAAAACAAATGGGATTGAAGAGGAGAGTTGCCAGATACATAAAAATAATCTGGGTGAGGACCAAGAGCGAGACTGTCTTTCTGTACTCAGCCTTTGCGGAGAGATGTTCTAAAATGATAAAATCATGGAGGAGGAGGAAGAGGAGAGAGAAAAAATCTTTTTTAGATTTCAGGCTGTGGAACCTGGTGTTTTATTCAGGTCCAGTTTGGAAACCTGTCATTAGCATCTTTATTGCTTTTATATTTGTAGAAGGTTGTTCTCAGAAAACAAGGCGACAACCCTGTGTAGGGCAGAAGGTTGAGATTATTATCTCCGTTTCATAGGCCTGGAGGGACTGGAGGAGGTTGCTTGCATGCAGCCAAAAGATAAATTAGCGGCTGGGTTGGGAAGCTCACCCACCCTCTTTGGGATCTCCAGGCTGTAGAAGCCGAGGCTGGTCCTCAGGGTGCTGTCTACATGTTGCTGCCTCTGTGTTCCTAGCAACTCACTGGAGTGCAGGTTTCTGGCCTCAGTTTTCCAATCTGGACAATGTGGTGAATAGCCTCAAGCCTCTTCACAGCCTTGCAGATGTGGGAGGAAGGTGTGGACAGCTTTGGAATAAAGAGGCTGCTATTGATGGGCAACGAGCAGGGCTGGAGTGGGCAGCAATTTTTTTTGAGAGGGCTTCTCGGGAAGTGATGCCATTCACAGGAAGCCCAGGGCTCTCCCAGTTAGACCTTCTGTGTAAATTTGAGCCAGTCCTCTTTCTCTCTTTTTTATGAATGGGCTTTTTGTTAATGAGAGGAAACAACACATCTCAGCCGCTGCTGTGAGAGGCTCTCGGGACAGGAGTGCTTTTTGGGGATGGCAGGTGGTGAGGGTCAGTGGGTGTCTCTGCTACAAAGGGGTCTTGAGGCCTTTGGCAACCACATATCTAGAAGGTCAACAAAGGACTAAATTCAGCCTGACTGGGGCTGCTGCTGATGTGATGACGTCAAACCTGGCAGGACTATAGTTTTTAGTGGAAAGGTTTTTAAATAAAGGCTTTTAGAAGACTCGGGAGACTTAGTTCTGGCATTAATTAGTTGTGTGACTTTGGGGAAAGTAGTCTTCCCTGGCTTTAGTTTGTCCATCTGCAAAACAAGGCCGCAGGTTCGCACTCCTAGCTCTGGACGGTCTGTTCTGTGATGCTTTTCTCCTTAAATGTGGCCCAGGATGCAACAGAGCTATTCTAGAAATGCTTTTGAACTTGTGTGGAAAAAGAACAGTTTCTTCTCTGCTGAGGTCAGGTGGTCTTTTAAAAAATCTTTTCACCCTTGTTCATCTTTTGCTCCCTGTGTCTTCCCAGTGAAGTCTACCTGCCCTGGCCACCCTGGGGGAGATGTGCAGATAATAATGGCATTTGGGGTTGGCTGCTGCAGAGAGTTGGAGGTTTAGGGGACAATGGACTGATTGCTATCCCCTGTGCTTTTTCTATTGTCCCGTACTTAGCTTAAACCCGATCAATGGGGGTGGGGTAGGGTGGAGAAGGGAGTCCGTCTGAGGAATTCCTGAGCCCCTTCTGGATTTTTTCTTTACTCCCAAGTCATTGCTTTGTGTCCTTTCACTGGTAACCTCTGTTCTGTGTGACCTAGCTTTGGATGAATCCAAATTCCACACCTTATCACTGACTTCCTGGGAAGCAGGAGTGTATGGATTTTTAAGAGGTGATGTGAGTCCTTAAAAAAAATTAACAACAGATGGTTGGAAACAGTTTTCTGACTTGGTGCAGCAATGACTAGTAATAGTAAGCATGGTTAATAATACCTTATATTTATCTAGCCTTTACTGAATACAGGCCACTTTCACATACTTTATTTCTTTGGCATTATGATAGATAGATTGGACTTGGAGAAAGAGATGTTAAAGTGTTTCCTGTGACCATGTTCATTCCAAGGCAGGGTGGGGGGGGGGATTTAAGTACAAAGAAATGCTTTGGCAAGTGAGTTAGCTGAATTAGGCTATGTTATGGTAGTAAATTCTGTAGATTGCAGAGGTCCCGATAAGGAAAGGGAGACTTTAGCCAGAATGAAAGGGATAACTTAGCAGAAACATTTGTGATGTGCGTCCCTCAACAGAATGACTCAATTTTGGCTTCATAGAAAGACCTTGTTTCTCAGAATCAGTGTGAGTTTGTAACAAGGGCGGTATTGCTCTAGGCCGGGAAATAGAGGAGTTGGTGGGAAATTGGTTAGATTCCCCATCTCCTATTTTTCAGTCTGTAAAATATTTACTCCACAGGCCTTGTCACATAGACCCTCATCCTGGCCCTGCTGCCTTTGGCTGACTGCCAATGTGAGAAGCATAAGGAAAGGCCGATTGGTGTCCGAGTTCTGTTCTTGATTAATACTCCTGCTGTTGGGTTTCTTTTTGGTCTTTTCTGACTTCTGGTAGAGGTTTGTGTGATGGAAGCAGCACCAGCTCACATCTAAGCTGAAGCAGGAGAGGCGGAGGGTTCTCAGGACCCATAAGCACCTAGGTTAACACACCACTGTTAAACAAAGTTCCTTGCTGAATGTCAGTGGGATATACCAATTATACCAGTAAATATTTCTTCAAGCCTGGCCAGTCCCCTTGCGAATGCAATTTAGGCAGGTATGGGTGACGGGGGAAGGAGTTTACTGAGCGATTATGCTGTTTACAAAAAAATCACCCAGTGAGTTAGTGGCAGATGTGGCTTTAGAAATGAGCTGCCACAGTGGGAAGCAGGAAGAGATTCTTATGGCTATTTAAGTCCTAAAATCCAGTTTCTCAACTGAATGGATAAAATGCCAATTTAACTGATTGTATTTATAAAGACTGGTGGTCTTAAATTAGTGGCCTTTCTCTTCCTTTCCTCCAGTTATATTGTCTCTGTCTTAGGAACTAATCAAAAGATTCCACTTTGGATGTCTTGTCTAATTACTCAGTTCCTGTTGGTTCTATATGTGTCTGTGTCGACATCTCCTGATTAGGCGCTGAATTTAACTCTCCTTGTGTATATGCATAAGGCAGCCTGGATACAGGCTGCGTACTGGCACATACCAATTGATCCTGAGGACCCTGGAGCCCCCAACCACTGGTTTATAGGTAGTAATACTGAGTGCACCCTGTTCATTTGTGGAGTGTCATCGCTATTTCATTTTCTGTTTTCTTTCCAAGATATTAGAAGTGTGATAACCACCAAATAGAACTTAGCAGCTTTTGGTTCATCCTTTGATTTTCTTATTCTTGCCCTTCTTGCTATAAGCGTAGAAAGGCACATATTCAAAATATTCCCAAGCTTTTTGAGATACCCTTGGGGACTCAGAATGCATGCTGGTAGGCTCCATTGGTTCAGAGATGGCTTTGTTTTAGAGAAAACTTGATGAATTTGAAAACTAGGCTTTTTGCCTTTCTCCTCATCACACACAGATACCCCCTCTCCCCCCCCGCACCAGACTTCAGACCAGCCATACTGGCCTCACCCCCCATTTGTTGTCTGGAGCACTATAATTGCTCCTGCTTGGAGTTGACATTGGTGGGTAATGGGTACAGTGAGTGGTCCAGCCATCTGTTGACTGCTTATCAGATGGAAAGTAGCCTGTGTCATCAGTACAGAGGGACAGTCAGGGATGTTTATATGGGCCTCGGCAGTGAGGCATGACACCCTTTTTTGTTTGTTTTGTGTTTGCCCTGGAGGAAATTTGCAGAGAATTTTTCCATATTTCATGGTTACAGTCTTTGGGGGCCATCCACTGTAAAGGGAAGTGGCATCGGTTGGGGGATTCAAAACCCACAGTTAGCCCTGTGTTCAAAAGTAGGATATTAGTTTTGCTCATGGCTTGCTAGGGCAATTTGAGCCAATTATTTAACCTTTTCCTGTCTCAGTCTTCTCCATGAAATGGGCTACTTTAGAGACATAGCATGTGAATTCTTGAATAACTATGTGGTCACTTAAACAGAGAAGCTGGGCAAAATGGACCCGAGTTGGCTGGTGACCAGTATTTTATTTTTTACGTCTGACTCAGAAGCTCAAAAACCTCAATTCTTCTTCACTTTTTCTGGAGAGCTATCAGAATCCATTCCTGTAATCATTTGTGGTGCTTTTCTCTGGATCTTTGCCTATGCCCCCCACCCTTCTAATGCACAGCTGAGAAAATGATCCTGCTGTGGCTCTTAT